AAAAAAAAAAAAAAAAAAAAAAAAAAAAAAGGATGACACACATAAATCGAAATGGTGCCAAAACAAAAAACTTCAAAAAAGTTAAGCGGCTACAAGGCTACAACCAATTTAATAATTTATTCAGAAAAAAATTCAAAGAAACAGAACTAGATGATTTCCCCATAGGGATGCCAATTGTCAAGACCATCATCCTTGGAGAAATGCATTGCAGGTATTACAATGATCAAAACGAACGAAGTTCTCTCTCTCTCTCTCTCTCTCTCTCTCTCTCTCTCTCTCTCTCTCTCTCTCTCTCTCTCTCTCTCTCTCTCTCTCATCATACGCATGCGTCCATGAATGACTGTGTGGGCTCTCATGCATTCCGATGGGTATGGTCTGTCTGCGGGTGCATTTCCTGCAGCTATCATCTTCCCCCTAACACAAAGCATACTCGTTATGGCTGTACCGTCCCAGAAAGATAGCTTGTATACATTGCTCATCAGGATGTGTTATGTCCGAGCGAAGACAGTGGCTGTTTGTGTGCCCACTCCAATTTTGCTGCAGGCAATCATACAATGCAATGAGCCCAAGTGTTCAAACTTCAAAGAAATCATAACAAACACACAGTAGGATGAATAACATGGCCATATCATTACAGAAAGGAAAACATACAAAAAAATATAAAAAATTATAAGAAGAAAGAAGAATTTCCATGTGACAGATAACATATACTTATCTGAGAAGTTGGGTGAACTTTATTTATTCAAAATTCAGATTATTCTTCTTTTCTGGGGAGAAAGAACCCTTAGAAGTTAGAACTAATTAGTAATTAGTAATTAGTAATTACCTTTTAGTAATTAGTAATTAGTAATTACCTTTTCCTTTGACAATGACACACGTAGGTGGTTCTCGCGGTTTCTTGGCACCCTCCAGTTCAACTACCCAAAGAGCAAATGACAACATGACAGAAGAAAAAAAAAAGAAAAAGAAAAATCAAATTGTAAGCAAGGTTGGCTGACATCAGGATCAAGGCATTGAAGAAGGGAAAAAAAAAAACACAAAAAAACGTCAAGCCGTTGAAAAAAAAAGGAAAAAGTAATAGATGGAGCCTCCCCGACGGTGCTAGATGTGTCTGCTCTTATCAGCACACCTAGCATCCGATCGGGTTGTTCTCAAAAAAAAAAAAAAAAAAAAGGAAAAAGTAGTACCCTGCTGTTGACCTCCCTTAGAACATCAAGCTGCTGAATTCCCTTATAAGTTACACATCTTTTTTTTTTTTTTTTTTTTCCAACTTATGCACAAATCATCATTTGCTGGAAGGAAGCTTCAACTTTCAACAGCTTGATAACACCGCAAAGGAAAACAACAACAAAAGCTTAAGCTTGTCCTTCTGAATCCTTAGAGACATCCGTTAAGTTTTTCCTTCCTTAAGCTTTTGTTGTTGTTTTCCTTTGTGGTGTTATCAAGCTCGACGGAAAGGACCACAATAACATGGCCCCTGCGCAAGGATGCGGGGAAAAAAAAAAAAAAAAAACAAGAACAACAACAACGAAAGCTTAATCGCAGATCTGAGACTCCAAAATGAGCAGTAGAATTAAGGTCCTTGCCACACCACTGTCGAAATGAAAAAAGTTCGAGCGCATCTTCTTCAAAAAGTAGTAAGATGCATCCGTCGCATCCGTTACTATTATTAGTAACGGATGCATCTGCGGGAACATGCACTTGAACCTTTTTTTTGTTTTGAGAGTGGAGTGGCAAGGCCCTAAAGGCAATCACAGCACATGCAGTCAAACTCGAGGCAAGTAGACATAGACTCAAAGTCAAACAACTCAGATCAATTCAGTTCAGCATGAATGAACAGCAGTGAGGCACAAAACTAAAGTGTCGGCTCCCTGACACCGTGTTTCCATTGCCTCCAGGCAATCTTCCTCAGGAGGTTTCTCTCCTTCGACTCCCTTGGCCCTAACTCCGTACCTCCAACCCGCTCCTGTCTCCGACCTCCTCAGCCTTCCAGAGGGTCGGAGAAGGCATCGACGTTAGACCTGCGAAAAGAGATCGAGTAATCATATGAAGTCTGCTTAACGAGGACATCCAGGAAGGTACTACTATTGTCATCCATACTGTTTCCCGAAGCGTCCGCACCATGGTCATATAGGTCCATAGACTCCATACACCACCTGCCAGACTATCGTAGTACCCCAAAATAGACCTACCGTGGGCTAAGTCAACCGCTTTCTCTGGTAGGCCTAAATCTGGACCTGGCCCACTCTTCGCAAAATCCATTTCGGGGTTGGGGTCCTTAGGTCCTTTTTGGGCCCGTACACTGAATAGTACTTTAATATCCCTTCTTGGGTTCGAGGCCCGTGTACACTTAAACCACAAGTACCTCGCCCGCACATCGGCCGCGGGCCCTTCACCGCGACTTTCGGACACCCAAAACACGACAACAGCCCCTGATGAAATTTATCAACAGTGGCCCAGCCCCGGAAGTTGCTGCTGTTAACGAGCCGCATCTCTGAAAAATAGCTGGGCAAGGTACTGATGGTTTAGAGTCCTGATGTCGGACTGGACTAACAATCAAAAGCACCTGTAACTAGAGCACCCGGTCAGGACGTCACTGGAACAGAGAGGACCAGTCCTCCCCTGGGTTAGGTTATGTTTCTCAGCCTTCCCCTCCAGGAAAACCCCGGAAACCATACAGCATATATTTCTACAATGTCCCGGGGCTATCTGGTTGTGGGGATGGTGGGACAGGATCTGGAGTCAATTGGGCACATCCCACCCTTGGCTCTGCGAAACATGGTGCCCAGACCAACCTACGGACTTCACACTCAACCTATTCCAATCACGGGCTGTCCTTTGGGCTCTCTGGTGGAGAAGGTGCACCCATGAGATGGAAAGGGTGCGTCTCGATGGCCCTGAATTCACAGGAACCATCAGAAGGCAAATCCAAGCAGACATCAGCACACAATGGGAAGGAATGCGTCCACAAGTGGCACATCTCCAATCCAAAACTGAAGTACACCAGAAAATTAAAGATCATTAAACAATTCTGCAGCAGCTGGCTTGGGGGAAGTAACGGTTGGGGAAAATAGGGACAGTAAGGTGGGAAGGGAGACTTAAGGGATCCCAAGAAGAGATAATCAGGGACTACCAACTGATCTTCCATGATTGGACCACACTAGATCCATCCATTCCACTCCGTCCCCTCTCTGACTTCCCAGACCTGTTCCCCCCCCACCCCCTCATGCATTGTGGAGCAGAGTTGGTACGGTTGGGATCAGGCGCGAGTGAGGAAGGACCATCAGGCCTGAGGTCTGTGGAATGTGGAGGGTTTAAGGGTCTGGGGGTTTGAGGGGTAGAGGGGTCAGGGTTCAGATCACACAGGTGCTTGAAAGGCAGGTCCAATCCGGCGCCCACCAGTGGGGTGAAGAGGCACCAGCAGCAGGTACTGATCTCAGAATCCTAGCTCGGGTTCTTAACTGTCTTTGACTCTTCGGTATTGGCTGAGCAATTTTTAATGCTCACTAGCTTACCTGTTGCCGCTTCGCCCGCAATGGAGAAGGATTTTCTGTCTTGAAAAGCTCAGAGGTTGAAGGGTTTGGTGGGTCGGTGGTAGTTGGATTAGAACTTCTCTCTCTCTCTCTCTCTCTCTCTCTCTCTCTCTCTCTCTCTCTCTCTCTCTCTCTCTCTCTCTGTCTGTGTCTCTGTCTGTGTCTCTGTCTCTGTCTCTCTCTCTCTCTCTCTCTCTCTCTCTCTC